AAAATATTTGTCTCATGTGTAAAAAAGTTGAGAACAAATAACTTTATTTTCACAATAATACGTTGCGCATTGCACGTAAAAATGGCTACTCTCTGTACATTTTCTAAGATTTGTATGCACAATCGAGAATATGTAGATAAATTGAATCTCACGATTTTAGATGTTGTCTATCTCGCTAGAAAAAGCAAAAATACGCGATACGAAAGCCGTACGAAAGCTTCATTCCAGCATACGAAGAATGCATTTTTCTCTCGGTTCTCTCCAGCATAGCAATGAAAATTCGAGAATCAATATTCCATGTGTGTCATCACAATGTGCTCCAGTGTCGTTCCCGTTGCTCGATCTATTTTATTTGTTCTCTGCATATGCTGTAATCGTGCGTCAGTTCTGATACACAAAACTGGGAAACGACGAAGATAATTCGTTACACGTTGGCTTAACGTTTGGGCAATTGGAAATGCGCGAGAGAATCATATAAAACAATTTAAAGTATTGGATATAATTTTATAGTGTATATTGTCAAATCACTTCAGAAAGGTAAACTCTTTATTTTTATTATTTATTGCAGAATTTAACTCAAATTTGTTCTTCTATAAGCTTGATTTAGAAACGATAAGCGATTTATAAACAATTTATATACAATTCTTTTCATATAATAAATTGAGGAAATAAAGACAGAAAGAGAGAGAGAGAGAGAGAGAGAGAGAGAGAGAGAGGGAGAGAGAGAGAGAGGAAAGAAAATCATATTTATATAAAGTAAAAGTGTTATTTCGAGAATTCTAATAATGTTGTATATTTCGCATGAAGAATCAAAACAAAATAAAAATAGAATGAACGACCCTCTTCTCTCTCAACCAGGATAACTAGAATTCCTTAGGGAACAGAAAGTCATACGACAATTGATCGCCGCATTATAATAGCGCAGTGTTAATCGCATGCATCATCTAGTTAGACGGTACATTACCAGTCGCGCTTTTACAGAGTGTCATTCACACAGTTAAACGAAACAATAGCATCCGCCTCGTGTTGGATGCAACAGTCGATTCATTTAATGGCTCTGTTCCATTTTAACATGCAACGTCGTCGCGCTAAAAGATAGGAATACCGAATGCCATCGACTCGCTATATTTTACCTACTGTATCTCTCAAAGCCGTTTTATCCTTCTCTCTCTTTCTTATATTTTGTTAAATTTTTCTGCAATAATATTGGTCAATTCCAGTTATTTATAGATTTATTATTTAATGCATGTTTATTTTATTATTAATGCTAAAATAATGCTAAATGTTGCAAAGAATCATTATATTTAGATTATAATTATAAGTTTACGTAAAATACTATTTTTAATATAACGTAAAATATTAATATAAAATAAAAATTAAATTAAAGTAAAAATTAATATAAAATATTAATTTTATAACAAATTAAATTAGAATAAAACTAGCAAAAATCTAGATGACAGTGCTAGATTCTACTTTTAATCAATTTATAGATTTCTTTCTACGTCTTTTATTTATTGCTATTTATTTCAAACATTATTAAATTATTAATTAGAAATTAATGTTTATTTAATACAATACATTCAATGTCAAATCAATAAAATGAAAGATGTAAGACACATAGATTATTTCAATCTTAAAATAATAGGCATTCAGATAGAGATCAATTGAATTTTATCATAAAGGGAATTAATAAATGTAGATAATAACAGAAGAATTGTTCTTACGTTACATTTCGCGTTACAAAAAAGGTACAAAATATCAGTCTGTCATTTCAACCAGTTACGATGGAAATCGATATTTCCGGGAAATGTAACCCAACATGTCACAAACTTCATAATATATCCGTTTTATGTATATAAAAGCATTTTCGATTTCGATCCGTTTACTACGATGAGGTTATTAAATATTGCAAATGTTACATTGACGTATGTTAACTTTACATTGACAAAACTTATATTGATATATGTATGTTAACGTATATATAATATACTATATATATGTATATATAATATAATAGATGTTACATAATTATAAATATACTGATTTAAAAATAGTAAATATTGTCATCTATCTTTTAAACAAAATTTTATCAATTCTTTTCTAATTTACTATCAATACTGTGTACAATTAAAATTTTACATTAATTACACATTAATTAAAATCTATTTCACTCTATAAATTAGAACGCTATCTATCATATTTCCTTCCGTCTTAAGTAAAGCATTCCCTCTCAATTGACGCGAAGATTTCGCGTATGCTGTGACATACATTGAATCTGCTCTAGTGAACGACTTTTGCCGTGGTCGACGTTGTTGGCTCACGCAACATTCGAAATTTTCACCTCAATCGCGTGCGCGCCAACAAGCGACATTGCTTGCGTGATTCCATGTCGTTGCACGACTTTTTCTTTCGTTAAATAACGACGTTCATACAATCATGCCTGACGTATTCGGCCAAGTAGCCCATCAACTAACTTAGCCGCGTGCTTCACCCCGTCGCATTGCCAGATTATCGTGGCCCTGCTAGGTCAAGGATGCAATTTGGCCCGAATTGGTTTATGCGAGTTTTATCCGTCAGCTCCGCAAATACCTCTGCTATCATATGCACGCGGTAACTATATAGACTATTTCAAACTATTGTATAAACGCGGTGCATACGGTGATGAAAGTTCGATCGTGTAAATCGACTTTGCGTAAAATGTCGATTATGATGTGTACAAATAGCTGTTGTACCAATCGTTGCTTGTCTTGAAATGTCATCACGTCAAACGTATTTATGCATTCAAGGAAACTAACAATATATAACATTATAAATTAAATGATCTTTAATAATTTCAAAAATTCAGATTGTAGAAAAAGATGAAAAAAAGAATGAATTGCAGATATTTAACATATTTTTCGCGATAGTTTTCGAAAGTAGGTACGCAACTTATACTTATAATTATGAAATAGAACAATAAATATCTCTTTTTTGTTAATATATCTTAAAGCAGGCCTGTCCAATTTGAACTCCGGAGCCAAAACGCAAAGCAATCGACACAAAAAAGAATTCAACGCGGGTAAGATTTCGGATAAGATTGGGGTAAGATTGACACTATAAAATGTCAATCGGATCTCCGCGTCCCCGAAATCTTACTCACATTCACTGAATTTTTTTGCGTCGATGGCTTTGCGTTTTGGCTCCGGAGCTCAAATTGGACAGGCCTATTTTAAAGTATTTCTACATCACGATTAAGAATAATTTCTAACTTTAATTTAAGTTAAATATATTTTTAAGTTAAATATATAGATAAAGTTATAGAAACTGATTATTTCAGGAATTTTAATAAATTTTAATTATTATGCAAATTATTATGTAAATTGTATAAAAAAAATAATTTTAACAATTTTAAGAATTCGTGATGATCATTTGGCTATTCGACGTGATTAAAATGGGAAAGAACTCGAAGAAAAATCTTGCCTTGAGAAGAGGGTGACTTCTCGAGGGAATTTTTTTACTTCAATTTTGTCCCTAATGAAAGTTCATTTCCTTTAGCCTTGATATTCCCAACGAAGTAGGGAACACAAACGGTGACCGTTGACTGTATAAGAAGCGCCGCGTGATGTTATTACCCCTCGATAATGAACAGTCCCAGAGAGGTAACGGCAACTTGGCAAAGTCGCTTGGAATTCAAGAAGGTCATTCCGCCAAATGATGAATCACTCATCTAAACGCGTTTAAATGCGTTTACAGTAACAAACCTCTCATTCTCGTGCTCTTTCGCGAGGACAGTCTCACAAATCTAATCAGATGGCCGTGCATTTACGTTAAATGGACTACCATTATCTCATAAGATTTGATTACGGCAACTGACATGTGATTGCGCTACGTGAGGAATAAAAGACACGCATCTTCATTAAAACAAATAAATTATAACAAAAATTTATTAAGTATGTAATATATCCGTTACAAAGTTGACGCTATTATAATTGTTATATTTTTGAAAAATTAAATGATTAATGTTATTTACAAGAGAATAATGTATTTGCTAATATATATAAGTCAATAAATAATTTTAATATATACGTTATCTTGATTTTTTAGGACAAGATTAAGGTTACTTCGTGATTTATAGTATCTGTGATCTATAGTATATATATAAATAAGTAAATTTACATTATTCTCTTAATATATATATGTATACAATACAGAGAATGTACAATAAATCGGTGAACCAATTAATAACGTCAGTTACTGTTATCTTATTAACATTGTCTTTGTGCCATCGATCTGTCTATCCTATTTCCCGTAGCACAAAATCCTTTGGGGATGTTAAAGATCGATGGAGCGAATGATGTTACACAGTGCAAGTACACGTCAGCAAAAAGGATTTGAGAGCAATCCGTTGTAGCCACGAAAAAGCATGCAGGAAGTATAAAAACTAGTTTTCGTACCCTACTTTTATAATAATGTTAAATAAAAATTTTGTATAAGAGAAAAACAAACAATAAATTTAATGTTTAAAATAAATATGGCTCGTAGCCTTTTTATTTTTTTGTTTTTTAAATTTTATGAGCTTTATTACTAATAAATATAAATATTAAACATATCTTTTTTAGCTTAGCTTTTATTATTATTTCTTCCACAAATACAATTTCGATGACGTTGCCTTTAGCACAATTACAGATTTCCTGAAAGATTAACGCAACATGATTGTACTGTGTCATAGTTAAAATCCAACATCTTTATGGAAATTTTTAATTCAGCAATCTATATTTTGCTACATTAAAATTATATTAATACACGCAAAATAATCTAACGTCTGCGCATCAGTGGTGTGATGGCTGTATGCAAATAGAAATTGTAACCATGCAGCTTGTTGTCTATATGCTAAAATTTGTAAAAACCCAAAGGACTACCTCACATGTGGAAAGCCATATTCCATTTATAGTTTCGCACATGGTCGTTTCCGCAGTTATGTACCAATCTGTTCGTTCTGAATAAAAGATCCGCGCTCTTACCATTGCGTGATGAAATCTGTGCCGATGGTGAAGATCGGTGCGGAAGTGCGATTGACCTCGGTGCCATTCAGGCTGCTTTCGGTGCCGTTCATCTCCATTCCACCAAACCGAGGCGGCAGCAACCTTCAAAGCTACTGCGCCTTCTCCTCCTCAATACCTAGTCATCTTTCGGACATCCTGAAAAATCGTAATAAAATAAAAATATTATATAATATTAAATATTCGGATATTCGCGAAAACATTTTCTTTTAAGCTTACATGTTTTTAAGTTTTACTAAAATTTATGATTAAATCTTGAAATAAATTCTCTTTTTATTTGGTCATGTCTTATAAATCTTTTTCTTAAAGTAGATTAAGTAAAGTAGAATTTACGACTAGGTATACGAAAAGTAAGAAACAAATCTTTTCTATTATAGCAGGTAAAACGATTAAAATTGTTATCATTGCAAGCAATATTATATCGCATGTTTAAGCCTTACTGATATGGTAAGCACTGCTTAAGATTTATCGAAGTATTACTGTCGATAATAAATATTTTTTTTGCAAATAACCGTGATAGTATTGTCAAGGTCAAACAAATAAAACGCAAAAAACCTCCCTTTGCGTGTAGCACGGCGGACTCCATGTTTTATATTTATGATTATGTCTTAGAAAATGTGGCCGTTACAGAAAACGTACAATGCCAGTTGTATAAATGCTATGAATAGGGAACAATATTTGTCATTTAATTGCTTGCGTATAACTGAAGAGGAAGAAAGAAAGAGAAAGAAAGAAAAGTTGACATAATTTGCGCGCGTATATTTTATTTTCATATAACTGCGCTGCAACGGTTCTTGAGAAAATTAATTATTAGCTGTGTATAATAAATTATAACGCGAAGCGTATGATTTCCTTCAATTGCGAACGCAACTCATATTATTGTGCACGCGCAGACGTCGTTATGCAGGTTGACCCGATCATCGCTATATAAAATCTCATTCTAAATTACTGTTTTCTGTGATACATATATGCATATTAAGATTCCACATAAGAAATTTAATTTCTACCAGTCATGCCTTGTACTCGATCAATAGCATTCCGACGTCAATACTATCATGCATCGCATTGAAATAACGTTAATAATATTACAATGTTGTAATATATTAAACAGCAACAATTATTGCAATAATCTTTTTATATTTGTATTCTTTTTTCCTCCTTTTAGAATTTATGAAGCATTTTTTTTTACACATAAATCTAGGAGTTAAAAACATTTGACCTCGACAAACGAACCGCCACACCGCCAGGGAATTACTTGTTCTACTTGAAATTTCATCTGACCAAAAATGCGATTTTCATTACTTCAAATAAATACATTTTCTTACGAATGAAAATATCATCATTAAGCAAAACTATTTTAAATGTTTTTAGTACTTGCATATATATATATATATATATATATATAAAACATAAATAAATATTTTAAATATGAATGATGACAAAATAGTAACTATGCTGATGTACAATTTTATACGCGTTTAGAGATATTTAATTTTATTTCTGCGACAAATTAATTAGGATTTTGACGATAATAATAATAACAAAATATTATGATTTTATTTGTTTTACATCTTTTCTTTCAAAGCCCATAACAATCATGCTATTGTATAATACATATCAATACGTATTGAAACGCAATGTTTACGAGAAAGAATAAGATTTATATTACTACGCTGAAAGCTGCGTTTATAAAAAAAAAATTTTTCCAATAGAACGCGATGTTCAATTAGCTAAATATTAAATTAAATATAATGTACAATAATAATATATACAATATATACGTCATATGTTCTATAAACATCTATCATTTACATAGTGGACTATTGCATATGATGATCAAATTAATTTTAACTGAAAGATCAAACACGTAGGCGTATAATATTTAATATGCTTGCACCGTAATATGTTGGTGAAATTGACTGTACATGGTTTCCATCAAAGAGCACTGCCATTACAATTATACATTTCATACATGGTAATTCCCTTCTTTACTATCCCATTATTTAATTAAAGATGAAATAATATACCACATTGCTGCTATATGGTTCATTATCTCCCGATTTTCTATTCCAACAAAATGTAACGCATTTATTTATAAATGCGATCGATAACATATTTTTCATATACTAACGCAATTCAAAGAAGTATACATTACAGTGCAACTTAATATATATTTATGAGTGCAGTAGTGACACGCGATATTTATCAGATTGACAACGCTTCTTTCAGCACATTATTTTCTTCATTTCCAATGTACTATAACACGACTACATGACGATACCATTATCTCTCAACGATTCAATGATGATAAACTGAAACGTTTTAAAAATACTCACTATCTTTTAATAAAATGCACTTAACTGCCTTGCAATAAAAAGTCTTTATTCTATTTAGAAAAAAATTGTAAAGGAAAATTAGATTCTGTAAAATAATGAAATGTTTATTTGAGATTTTTACTTACTAATTTACGTTACAATGAATTAAACAATGCTGAAAATAGAGAGAGTATAATTCATAAACGGAATTGATTAGAACGAATCCAATGCAATTGTATAAAAGAAAAGGATTTTTCTTTGTCCCTTAACGAGACCCCAATTAGCATCGACTGTTATTACGTTATTCAAGAATATCAGATTTCTCTTCTGCTTTGGGAGAAATAAATGCATCATAACTTTTTAACTAGCATCACGCAATAGTAACAGTAACACAATTTATTATTTAAACTTAAACTATAAAGTTATAATTGTTACAATATTACAAAAAGGAAGGTATTATGTTAAAATAATAACATATCACAACAATTTGTGGACAAAAGCTTATTCGCAAACATATCTCAAATTTATATATAGATATAACCTTAATGCAATCTGTGTCTAGATCCCAGATGGTTAAAATAATTAAAGGATTGCATGTGCAAAGCACATTTTTCATAGAAGACGACACTGTCAGCCATTTGTACCTGACATGGAAATCGCACAGATCATACTTCCTCGTTCACTAATTTCAGATCAAGATGTAGAAAACATGCTTAATCACTCTCTTCAGTAAAATCACTACGGTTCGGTAATCGTAAGAAGCACATGAAAATAATTTTTACACTATTTAAATAATTATTATACTACAAACACTTTATGAATGTACGAATAAAAAAAGTTTAAATTAATATAATCTGTAAACTGTCTAACAAAATCTTTATAGATACTATTTTTATTAAATATTAATAAAATAGATATATTAAATGAAAAGTTTAATTTTGATAAATAATTTTGCGTATAAAAATAAAGAAAATAAATTAAAATAAAGAAAAAGTAAATACGCAATGAATAAATTTTAATAAATCTGATTTAATACGATGAATATATACATTTATTGAGCGAGTTATCATTAGACTTACAAATTAGATTTCAAACACGTTGTATTATCACAAAATATATTTTTTAACGAATTCTAAATTACGTCGCTCTTTAAAATGAAGAAATCGATTGTGATTTTATCATTCTCATTTCTGGATTTCTATCTTGCCTTGAACGCTTGTTCTCTTGGAATGTGTGAGGATAAATTTGGACGAGGACGAGTATAACAAGACGAGGCACTTCAAGCTTTATCAGTCTGCAAATTTATGCAATCCCAGCAGCTTCCCTTTCTTTCATCTTACAACGCGACCGTTTTGTTTCCGCCTACTCCTTGTACCACATTCCCCGCGATTTACACGGAGAGAAATATCGCAAAACTTTTACGTCAATCCTGTTTTCCGCGCTTATCGCCCGCGAGACGCGCATTCATTCGCTCGGATGAGAATCAGCGATATACCCACATTTTTTCCAACCACGTAGATTTCGCTGATGGTTTCTCTTCGTCAGATTTGCGGTGAAATAATTTGCACACGCAATAGTCAGCTAGGAAATATGTGGTGCACGAAATAGAAAATAATAAAAATGGAACGAGCAAATCGAGACATTCTGTCCTATTTTGCTGCCGAATGCTTCATAATAAAACGTAAAATTATTGAGTACTTCAATCAGAAGAAAAGTATTGCGATTAATATTTGTGCAAATGATCTTTGATCAAATGTTGTTTGATAAACTTCAAATACATTTTGTTGACTATTAAAGTCGATTTCTAGACTGTAAACAACACTTCATTCATATTAATCTTCAAAAAGCAATCGACAACTTGGAAGTAGAAACAAACTTGTGACTTACGCCTGTAATGAAAACCTACACTGTATAGTAAACACGTTTTTATTTATGATAGGATATATTTGCACATTAAAACCATAAAACAATTTCATATGTATTTCAAATCATTTATTTTTATAATAAAATTTTTAACCATTTTTAATATTAATATTAATATTAATATTAAACTAGATAATAAATGTTAATAAAAATAAATTTTTAATTTATGTTGAAAGACAATGAATTGATGTAGAGTGCTACTACTTGTAAAATAACAGTTTTGGAGCTAAGCCATCTAGGTTAAAATCGAAGCTTTTATGAATTAAAACTGTATATATGTACTGTAGTATTATATTTCTTTTTTATCATATTTCTTTTTTTCCAATACTAGTAAAATATTAATCATTCAAATGTTTGCTGTATTACTTCATTATAGACTTAATTGCGAAATTCCTTATTCTTTTTTATTTAAAAAAAAATTTATATATATTTTGACAAATATATTATAAAGAATATACGTATAAATAAATATAAATATACATAATTTGATAAAATTATTTTTGATTAAAATAAGAATCCGTAATAATTATAACTATACAATAATATATTATACGAGCTTTTAATAACTTGTAATTCTATAAATAAGAAATAATTTAATATAACAATAAATATGTAATACGCAATCACATGTTTCAATAAAAACTTTTAATAAATCATTAATTTTTGTAAAATAATAATAATTAAAAGATTTTTTATTTTTGTTTTTCTCCTTGAAAGGATCTTTTCTTCGAGCTATTAATATCTTACATATTTTCTGATTACGCAGAAATTTAGACAGTGCCATCAATCATTTTTATTGATACAGCGCAATTAACACTCATTTATTGGTTTCGTGTATCCGGCCTACACTGTGCAGAAATAAAAAATGTAGCGTGATTCATCATCC